TCATCATTAATAAAACTAAGGTCAATATTTTTAATGCTGGTACATTTTATCAACATCCTTAAAAAGGCTGTACATAATGTTGATATCTCATAAGAAATGTGCCCCTCATGGCTTATTCTCCCTGCAGTGTTTCGTTGTATGATAAACAACTCCTACTCATTGTTTATTTCTTAATGTCATTGATCCCAATTGCATGGATCGATGCTGATGATGTCAGTCACTGGATGGCCCGTGAAGATCCGGAGTGGAATAGGTCTTCAGCAACCCATGCTTGCCGTAAAAGGCGACTATGCTTGTCGTAAGAGGCGAGTAACGTGATCAGGTTGTCAGGGTCGCTGACTTGGTTGATGCATGTCATCGTATCCCAATGGCATGGATCGATGCTCACGTTGTCATCACTGGATTGTCTGGTCCAGACTCGATTATTTACAGACTGCCGTCATATAGCTGGGATATTGCTGAGTGTGGCGTTAAACAACAAACAATCAACAACAACCATTTCTTAAATAAAGGTATCTTTGCTAAAAAAGGAATCTCGTTTCAGTGGCAATACCTTGATATCCTGGTAATGCTGTCTCTCTTTTTCTATCTGCATCAGTTATTTTATGTATCAGCTTCTTGTGATGTCTCGGATATTACTGTTTGTATTTTTGTTGACATTTTACAAAACAGAGGAAACTAAGTCTTCTTCCAATCATTGATTTACTTTGCCAGTATTAGAATGTTCCTTGAAATCAAACCCAGGTTTCAAGAAAAGCCAAACTTTAAACCACTAGGGTACCTACCATTACTAGTGTGTGTGAATGCAAATATATTGAGACATGCTCATTTCTACATCAACATTAATAGTCAGCCATTGTAGTAAAATGTTTCAAATCCAACCATATGCACACATGAATATGTCCATCCCATCTGGAATAAAATTTGTCATTAATCATTCCAAATTGTCTTCTTTCCTTTTCTTCAATGGAACCTCTGTCTGGAAGCTACCAATAACAGGTAACATGCCTAGTAGGACCAAGAATTGACTTTTTAGATTTTTTTGGTTCGTATTATGACAAGCTTTGCCCTCTTGGTTTTTCCCTCTCCCCAGGGCATGCTCTGTCTATCAAAACCTCGTGAGCGTGTTTTCTCCAATACTTAACAGTATTCCAGTTATATCGCGGCGTGTCAGCTTAATGTGGGAGGAAAGCCCGAAGTGATGCAGGTCTCCGACGTTTACCACTTCGGTGAAACCCACGAGCACGGGTATGGTGCTGACAAACCTAGAAACATAATCGGGGCGAACCGGGATTCGAACCCACAATCATAGGGTTCTGGCGTACCCAAGGGACGCAACTCTGCACAGCGAATCGCGGCGCCTTAGACGAGTGGCCCATCCGTGCCCCCACACCCAAATCATCTTTACGAAATGACATCAATGAATGGAATCAATGCAACATCGTTTGTTTTGTAGAAAAGTTTATTTCTACAGACCACAGTATGATACAAGAACCACAAAAACCTTTCCCATCTCGACACTGTGCAACATCATACAGGCAATCCACATAGACAGTTGGTGTCGTTTGTACAGCACTTGAATAACAGGCAAAGAAATAATCAGGCCCACACTGTCATTTCTTTGAGCTTTTTTTTGCTTTAAATAAATGACAGTGTGTCCTAGTAAGTTGATAAATCACTAACGATATTGATTGTAACCATCTGATCTTATGCATTTACAAATATAGAGTGAGTGCATAGCTAACTAGTGTTCAAACACACTCCAGTGATACTACACAAAGGTAGATAAGGACCACCCAATTATTTTTCATATTACAATAGTTAATCTGTCATGGCATGTGAGTTGTGTTTAATGCCACTTGGAACAGTATTGCGGTTATTTCAGTGCCATGACATGACAGATTAACAATTGTGATATGAAACAATTGGGTGCTCCTAACTTATTTTGAGTAGTATAGTTTTTGATTTTCCTTCTGTTTAAAAAATAAAGATATGTTTGCTGTACAGAATTTGAAACATGAACTTGTGACAAAAATCAGGATTATTTTTTTGAAAAAAATTATATCAACATGACTCAAGAATAATGGATAAATTCTCTAACAAGACCAATGCAATTATTTTACTAATTTGTGACTTCATTTTAATGTAAAGGAAAGCTGTATTGAATACTTTGTTACAGACAAATCATAAGCAAGGAAAATATGCCAATTTGACCATTACATTGGCATCAAACTTCCAGGATCGCCCCCTTTAATTGATCCACAGACAACAAGCCATGGAATAAACAAACTCAGATCTTGGACTACAAACTATACACACCGCCAAAAGAATCGCGAACCATAGAAACATATAGAGAAGTATGTACGTTAAGAAGAGATATTTCCAACGTGTACCATTTAATGACAAAACTACCAATCAGTCATGTGTTACCACAGAGTGTCTCGATATGCTGCACGTGATTTCCAAACTTTACACGCTAATCCTGCCCAAGACAAATGGTGCATCTCGAGTCATGGATCTGTGACGTCACGTGTGATGCCTTCATGAGCATCAGTTCACACAACATAACAGTATGTTCGTTTCTGCATCGACCCAAATCTAATATCTCTTGAATATGAGTAATTCTTCGTATACATTGTATTAACAAACATGTATGGTATTCGCGTTTCTTTTGTCAGCGAGTATGTAATAAATATAAACACTAATTATTAACATCTTGTAATTGTCATATTTTTACACATGTATAGCATCCAGTTTTTTTTACAAAATTGCTGAGTAAATATACAAAATAATGTTCATGTTGGCATAGGATGGAAAGCAAATAAATCAAATACACATTAACATGTACAACTCTAATTGTGCAATGAGTATGAAATTAACACTTGAAAATATTTTTTTACTTCAACATTAACATATAAAAATGTTCAGCAAGAAAACATGTTGTAATAGTTTTTCTTAATTTCGGTTAACTTCATTGCATGAAGAGGGTGCACAATGCTAGGGTACACGAAAATATATATATTTTTTAAATATTGTCTTTGCATGTCTACAGATTGTTTGATATGGAGATTAACATAGGTAGCCATGAGGCAAATAATTATTTTTAAGTTGGTTTATGGAATTTTGGTTCATTCCTACAATGTTGGTGGTTCGAAAGAAAAACGTCTTCAAATGAACATCTCTAAATTGCTGCCCCTCTACTGCACTCACGAAGCACATGATTGATGCTATCTCTCCGCCAAAACGAATGCGTTACTGGATATGTAGAATAAAACGGCCATAACTCTTATCAGTCTACATTCAAACTTTGAAGTAAACACTTCACTATGTAATTCGCAATGAGTTCTCTTTTCAACTGAAACGATTTTGTGTGATATTTCATGTTCACAATTTTTTTTACCCATTAGAGTCAGCGAAAAAAACGCATAAATATTTTCACTTTTCTATTTTTCACATCCACAGATCCATAAACAAACAAAAAATAATTAATTGCTTTTCTCATAATAGTAGAAAGGTTAATGTTATTTTAACACACATACGTAAATGTTACATTTGGAGACAGTTTCCCGCATTAGTATGTGTGGTTACCATGGTAACCCTTTGTTACTTGTAAATTGCACCTCCACAAACTAAGACAACACATGTGACATCAAATTTGTCCTCTTTCTATACAGATTTTGTGGGTATACCTGCTAGGCGGTATACTGAATGATTGTCACAATCTAAGTGCATATCATTCACGCCTTCGAATATGTAGAAACAAATTGCAGCTGATTCTTTATATTATAGTACTTATTCACCATGCATATGTTGATATTCAATGTTAATGAGCATATATTTGTTGAGGATCCATACACACGGATGGACGTCTCTGTACACACATGAGAAACATGTTCACATGAACCTTCTGCTGAACTAACTTAAGAAAAAACACAGTCGGACATTTGAAACCTTGGATCTGCATCATCCGTGCAGTCGATAACGAGTGGCGGGTTACACATGGGTCAGTTGACATGGCGACTTACAAATACACACAGCAGCATCTCCATGTGCACTGGTCAGTCCTGTTCTACATTTAAACCCTCGGATCTGCATCATCCGTGCAGTCGATAACGAGTGGCGGGTTGCACATGGGTCAGTTGACATGGCGACTTACAAATACACACAGCAGCATCTCCATGTGCACTGGTCAGTCCTGTTCTATGGATTCCTCTTGGGCAGGGACAGGTAATTCTGGTACTCGGGGCGGGTTGGTCCTGAGTAGGACCCAGGTACCCACAGGACAACTTCACTACTACAACTCTGTCGTTACCTATAAGTCGCTAATGTTAGTATATCCTTCTGACTTTTATATGTTTTGAGTAAAGATACAGCTACAATCCACTTCAGTGTATGCATGACCAGATCGTTTTATAGATGTATCTAAATATTTTTTGCCAGGAGTACGGTAAAACAACTCCTAATCAGACATTTTGTACCCAACTCATGACGTTACAGCGGGTAATATGGGGTCAGGTACCTGGGTAGTAGATTTGGACTAGTTCCAGCCCTTGATTCTTCCGTCCAAAATGCATACCGTCCAAACTGTTGTTTTTTCTTAAGTTTGTGTAGCAGTTCATTTTGAAGGTCATGTGACAATGAAAGACAGTTGATCAGGTTACAGTTGTCTCAAGGCCATGACAGAACAGTTCAGTAGAGTCTAGCAATCATTACCCTTTGTTAGGTTGAGTCATTGTCAATCAAACATTTTGCAGAAATGCATATACCATGTAAGAAGCGCCCAGGGTGCTCTCAAAATTAGAAATAGGGGGCTCTTATTGGAATATAATGTTGGTAAGAGGAAAAGATTGTTGAAAGATTGTGAATTTCGTAGTTTATGCTGACAGCCTGAAATGATACAACGAAAAGTCTGTGCGTATCATACACGACAGATATATTTTCCAGAATTTAATTGCCCATAATTAAGGGTGCATTTAACACACAAGTGCATATTATACACAAATAAATAAGTCTTGTGTACATTGATCAATTGGAAGGGATGCTTATTGGGATTGTTCACTAGCCAATATATTAGCAAATATCGCCGTGGGCGCTTATTAGAGCGGGGCGCTTATTACGTCAAATACGTAGGTGATTGATATACTATTCAATTTTGCCAGTCCAAAAGTCAGTGATTTATTTCAAATTCAATCCCTAGACATTGTTATTTCATTCTGACGGAATTTCGAAAATTGGTTTGCTGAATCAACATCTGACTGAAACTGTATCGGTCAATGGCCGTAAGATCTTACAGACATCACTAGCATACTGTGACACTATTTCTGGTACATTCCATTATGGACGGTGGGGGTGGGAGGAGCCAGGAGATCCCGGTACTCATGTAGCGCCTCTTTCAGAGCCTTGCACACCTGTGGGGAGGAGGACGTGGTACACTCCACCAGAGACGGGAACAACTGAATCACCTGCTGCCATACGCTGCCCTCTACTGGAAATACAAGGGAGGTAATTTGTAACAAAACATTTCTGAAATGTTTACAACATATATACTCTTGTAACAAATGTTTTATTTGGGATAACATTTTCTTAGTAAAGTACAGATTCTCATACCTTTTTGGGTTGAGTCCCGTCCGGGATTTGAACCCACACTGCCAGAGTGAGGCACCTAATCACCAGCACACAAAGTCAGCGATCTAACCCACTAAGCCATGAGGCTTCCACAATAATGAAACTGGCAATCTAGATCACCCAAAAAGGTGCGAGAGTCTGTACTTTACTAAGAAAGTGTCATCCAAAATATTACATTTGTTACATTTGACCACTTTCTAAAAGGCATTGTGTGTTCATATATATACTCTTTAAAAAAAGAAGGGGATCATGTTATAACTGTTGACGACAAACATCCTATGCAAGATCGTTAATGTCTGTAAAAATGTGACACCACAACGCATCCGATAGTTTGCATGTGCTTCATGTAGTAGCACCATACAGGTGTGTAGGGTGTCATTCCTGATTTGGGGGGCACAGGCACGTCTAAGGCGCCGCTATTCTCTGTGCAGAGTTGGTCCCTTGGCCAAGCCAGAAACCTATGATTGTGGGTTCGAAATCCCAGTTTGCCCCGTGAAACCTGTGCTCGTAGGTTTCACCGAAGTGGTAAAAGTCCGAGACCTGCATCACTTCGGGCTTTCCTTCCACATTAAGCTGACACGCCGCGATATAACTTAAATACTGTTAAAAGCCACGTTAAACCCAACTCACTCACTCATTCCTGATTTTGATACTTTCAAGGAAGGTCAGTTAATCTGTGTGGACCATTATTTCTGTCAATCTTACTAATTCTGCTTATCATACAGTTATGATTTACGTGATTTCATTCACTGTATGTGTATGAACTAGCAATACGGCATCTGCAACGTGCAGAGCTTCTCTGGGCTATTGGCGTGCTGGAAACTGGCAGAAGTCAGCGTACAGTATCCAGCACATTCAATGCGTCACAGGTTGTGATTAGCAGGCTATGGGACCAACAAACCCCAAACCCGACCCCATGCCTGGCATCCCAGGTTTAGAGTACAGGATCGATTGATCTGAAACCAGACTCTATGAAAACGAGCTCAAATGGTGAATGAAATTGATGCAAATTATCATCAGGCTACTTGAGTACGAGTAACGGCCATATTGCCAACAGAGGTCAATGGGGTACACACCATCAAAAATGGGGTAATCGTTGCTGGTCATGTGTCATGTTTAATGGGTCCCGATTCACTTTGCACTTCCGTGACAGGCGCGGTCGTGTCTGGCTGCGTCAAAATAAACGTCAACTTAATGTCAACCTGAGACCTCATGACAGATCTGACAATGGATTGGTTATCGAGTGGGGGGGCATCACTATGACTGAACAAACCCATTCCATATTGTGCAAGGGAGGGTCACTTGACAGTACTACTGGGGCAACATACTGACAGCCTTTGTTGTCTTGTTTCAAGGTGTGGTTTGATGTTTTGCAAAAGGACAACGCCCGTGTTCCCCATGCACGAATCATATACAACTCAAAAAAAGTTAAGGATCACCCGATTCTTTCATATTGGTAAAGTTAATCTGTCATGGCATGAGAGATTAACTTTTGTAATATGAAAGAATCAGGTGATCCTTAACTTCTTTTGAGTAGTATATATGCTCACTGCACAACATCCATTGAATGCCATGGCCAATAAGCCCAGACCACTCCCCCATTGAACACGTCTGGGACATGATAAGGAGATGTGCACATCAACATCATAGGCCGCTGACAACGTTGACTGAACTTGGCCGGGTGCTGCGAGTTGAGTGGGACACACTCCCTCAACTCAACATTGAGAGACTCAGTATGTCTTGTCGAGGGAATGAATGTTGACAAAATCATGGTGTTGTTACACACTACTGATCCAAAATCGTCAAGTTTGAAATTTTCGAACTCACCCCTATCGTCCTTTTAGAACGTTGGCTGTCATAACATCTATTGTCATACTTCACTACCGGTGTTCCAAATTCATTCATTATAATCATACAACTATTACTTGAAAAAAACATCTCTTACAGTTTTGGAAAATTTAAGATATTTCCAAGTATCGCCTACGTTTTCGGAAGAGTATATTTCATACAGCATCTCTCTATGAGCAATGTTGCAGCTACAACAGGAGGGCATAGTGAGGACACCTTCACAAAGTGTTCCTGTCGGGAGTTGATCCAGTATGCGTGATGAATGAGTGCACTTGCCACATGCAATTTCTAACAAATCTGGCCATGTCTACCTCGACCTAATGTGTTGTTAGACATGGTCAAGGGGGGGCGGTCGGGTAGCCTGGTGGTTAAAGCGTTCGCCCGTCATGCCGAAGACCCTGGTTTGATTCCCAACATGGGTACAATGTGTGAAGCCCATTTCTGGTGTCCCCTGCCGTGATATTGTGTAATATTGCTAAAAGCGGCGTAAAGTCAGACTCACTCACTCACTCATGGTCAAGGGAGATAACCGCCAAAGCATGAAGAAGGGCCATGCATGTATTTGTACCAGTGAAGTCAAAACTAAATTTAACTCCTTGAAGTTTTCAAATGTTCGGGTGTTAAATTTGGCTGAATGATTTTTAATTTTTCTTATTAAAACAAATTTAAAACTCATCCATCCACAAGTTATGATGAAATGAAAAACATTTAACATGACTAGTCATTTGGTGTAGACAATGGACAACACAACTCACTGTTTTTGACGGGAGCCCTCTTGAGAGACTGGAGTAATGTTGTGATAGCCTTCAGAACTGATGACATCTCAGCTAATCTTGGCCTGAAAATAAAATCCAATAATAAAAATTCCTTATGTTATTTGATAGTGGAAACACAAGCCTTATGATCATGCTAAATCATTTGCTCTGATACACAATAATTTTATCTGTACCAGTATTCACTTTGTCATGTTCTACTAGTCAGGGTGATGCTGATTTTATAGTGCTAGCCCACCGAGATACTATGCCCCTGTTTAACCAGACCGACCAGTCGTTATTTTAGTTCCTTAATGCCGAGAGCCAGGCAGGGTAACAACAAGTACCATATTTTAACGTCTTTTGGTATGACGCAACCAGGGATCGAACCCCAGACTTTCCGGGCAGATGCTCTACCACTAAACCATGGAGGCAGTCTATTGTGAACACAATTCATCATCTATAAGCATCATACAAATCACCCCGATAACTTTTGACGTGTTTGAAGTATTATTCTGTTAAACTCAATTGAATTTGTGGATCGCGAAATTGTCTGCCTATTCATACATGACAGTGAAATATTTAGAAAAGTTATAAATGGCAAGTAATAAATAATAAAAAAGTAATACCAATATTATGAAACGTGTGAAGAGTTCGCGTATCTGAATCGCTTTCGCTTGTCAGATACCAGAACTTTTCAATCGTTTCATAAACTTGGTATTACACAGGAACTCGTTGAGTATTCTCTATAAATGTGATTAATATACATGTATTGTCAATGGTATGGACAGCTGATTCACAGGGGATGTTAACAGCTGTTGTATGGCGAATATTTTATACTGGAAATCAGTGAAGGATTTCACAAAGAAATTCAGCAAACTCTGCAACTGTTTTTTCTGAAGTATTATTTCTGTTGTCTATTAAGTTATTCTTTTTCATCCATTTGACACCAAGAGAACTTAATAAAAAAATAAATGTACTGTGTGCAAATAAGAAAAATGACTTAGGAAACCGATTCATTTTGAAAATTATACGTCCATTTTTAAACAAATTTGAACAACATGCTTGAAAAGGTATAGGTATCGGGACTGAAACATCGCACAAGTAGAATTATGGAAGTTGTTATACCTACAATTGTTTGATGTTACCCTACCAACTTCTACTATGTCAATGAAAGAATTAGACCAAGAGTGAGGAGAATCCGGATTCGAACCCACATTCACCAAATCATTGTACAACTAAGGGAGACAACTCTGCCCAGTGCCTGGACAACTGGGTCACCTGCACCTCACTTAGAAACAAATGAAACGTTCAACTTGACAATACAACATTCACACAATCCACAGATGGTTTGTCAGCGCCTTGACTAAAACCTTCAGATGAGCTGCTGCTTACTACATAAACTCTGCACTCATGACTTCAAATCATGGAATGGTTGGGATAGGGCCTATAAGAGTTGTCTCACCTTGGTAAAGGACACTTCCCGCTGAGCCTCTCGTCCTCCACATACTTCTTGACGACCTCCTGACACCGCTGTAGGAGAGACAGGACCGCCAGCTTCGTGATGGACCCTTCCTCCGACTCCGACTTCTTGTTGACGAAGGAGAACTGGAGAAGTGTTTCAAAACAGGTCTTGGCAAAATCCTCTCTCAGCTTGCGACTAGATTCTGTATCTGAAACAGATGACACTGCAGAAATTCTGTGCTTTGTCAAAATTGTATATTATACTTAAAGGAATGCGGCGTAAAACCAAACTCACTCACTCACTCACTATGTGGTGAGATGTGGTGAGATAAGGTGAAATGGGGTTTAATGTTGCACTCTCTAATATAGTAAAGTGTGTGTACGTGTGCATGTGGCTGCTTGTACTAGTCCGGACTAATGCTGAATTAATAGTGCTAGCCCACTGAGATACCATTCCGCAGTTTAACATGAATACCCCACTCAGACACAGTATACTGACTCCGAGGCGACCAGTCCTTGTTTAAGCCCCTTAATGCCGAGTTCATAGTGCTAGTCAATTGAGCATGCACTCCAAGATACCTTTAACACTTGTCACAGATTAGAATTAAACATTTTTTGAGATTAAAACATTTCAAATAAAATATTAAAAACTGTGTTCATTTTCAATTTATGCAATTGTATACAGTAGATCATGGATATAACGAACTACAAGGGACCAGAGAAATAAGTTCGTTATATTCGTTGTTCCTTATATAAATTTTTCGCTCGGAAACGTCCGCCATCTTGTGTAAATCAAAACACAAAAAAACATAATTGCAGCATTGACTTGTATTAGCAGTGATCACTTCATCTCATTCAACTGATAACATTTCATAACAAACAATTAAGTGTAACAAGGTTGATCCATCACCGCTAATTGTTTTTATTCGCCGCGATTGTGTTCATTCACCGCTGATTGCGTACAGTCAATTGTCAGTGACACTTGACACTGAGTGAGATTCCTTAGTTCGCTATACACGTGGTAGATGGGCTTGTCGTGATCAGATATCAGTTCGCTGTATCCATTAGTTCGCTGTAGAGAGTTTGTTATATACGTTCATTTTATATGATATTATATAGGAGATAAATTGGGGATTTTTTAACAGTCCGCTGTATCCGTTTGTTTGCTATATCCGTGTTCGCTATATCCGTGTTTGTTATATCCGTGTTTGTTATATCCGTGTTCATTATATCCGTGTTGGCTATATCCGTGTTCGTTATATCCATGTTTGCTATATCTGTGTTTGTTATATCCGTGTTCATTATATCCGTGTTGTCTATATCCGTGTTCATTATATCCGTGTTGGCTATATATGTGTTTGTTATATCCATGTTCATTATATCCATGTTCGTTATATCCATGTTGGCTATATCTGTGTTTGTTATATCCGTGTTCGTTATCCATGTTGGCTATATCTGTGTTTGTTATATCCGTGTTTGTTATATCCGTGTTGGCTATATCCGTGTTCGTTATATCCGTGTTGGCTATATCTGTTTGTTATATCCGTGTTCATTATATCCGTCTTCGTTATATCCGTGTTGGCTATATCTGTGTTTGTTATATCCGTCTTCGTTATATCCGTCTTCGTTATATCCGTGTTCATCATATCCGGGTTCTACTGTACATAATTCAACAATAATGGATAGTAAAATGCATTCCCTGGGATTGTTATGCCAGTAATTTTACATTCAAGCCCTGTTGTTACTATTCCATAATACTGTGACTATATGGTTATATTAAATACCTTTGCAGAGTGCCTTACTAATATTGGATATTGTTAGCCCAGGTCGGGATCAACAAAACCATATCAGTATAAGGGAGATAATTTTGTCTTGTAGTTTACTTGAATTTACTGATATTTGGAATTGAAGACCTCATAACGCATCTGGTTCTAGGACTCCAATACAAGAAGCAGACAAGTGAAATTCTACATTTTCATGAGAATTGATCATGAGCATTGATCTACACAATCGGGTTATGATGACATGCATCAACAAGTCAGCAAGCCTGACCACCCGATCCCATTAGTTGCAACATACGACAAGAATGTTTTGCTGAAGACCAATTCTAACTGGGATCTTCACTGGGGAAACATAGTATTGCATCACCCTGCTTGGTTATTGCAGCACGTTTGGGACGATGTACCTACCTATGAAAGTATCGGATGTTGCAGAATGAATGGATCCCTTGTTGAGGATGTCCATGACCCTCACGACGAAGTCCTGGGGCATGCTGTTGGCGTAGGGGAGGATGTCGTCTCGGATCACCTGCACAACCTGCAACAACATATCATATTAGCTGTCTGCCGGCTCAGGGTACATAGACACAACTAGGGTACATTACATCGTATACCTTCTGGCTCGGGGTACATAGACACAACTAGGGTACATTACATCGTATACCTTCTGGCTCGGGGTACATAGACACAACTAGGGTACATTACATTGTATACCTTCTGGCTCGGGGTACATAGACACAACTAGGGTACATTACATTGTATACCTTCTGGCTCGGGGTACATAGACACAACTAGGGTACATTACATTGTATACCTTCAGGCTCGGGGTACATAGGCACAACTAGAGTACATTACATTGTATACCTTCTGGCTCGGGGTACATAGACACAACTAGGGTACATTACATCGTATACCTTCAGGCTCGGGGTACATAGGCACAACTAGAGTACATTACATTGTATACCTCCCGGCTCGGGGTACATAGACACAACTAGGGTACATTACATCGTATACCTTCAGGCTCGGGGTACATAGGCACAACTAGGGAACATTACATCGTATACCTTCTGGCTCGGAGTACATAGACACAACTAGGGTACATTACATCGTATACCTTCAGGCTCGGGGTACATAGGCACAACTAGGGTACATTACATCATATACATTCCGGCTCGGGGTACATAGACACAACTAGGGTACATTACATCATGTACCTTCCAGCAGGGGGTACATAGACACAAAATAGCAAAATGTTTTCAAAGCTTATACAATTTACATGCTTAAAAAGGCTGTACAAATATTAATGTCTCATATAAGAAATATAAGACTCATGGTTGTTGTTTATCGTACAATAGAACTGCAGGGAGAATAATTAAACAACACAGGGCAGTGCCCCTCATAGTTTATTCTCCAAACAGTGTTCTATTGTATGAGAAACAACTCCCACTCATCGTTTATTTCTAAATTAAAAGACATTTTCCAAATATTCATGTCATATGAAGCATATACTGATGTCCTTGGTTGACAACGTACATTATAGCTAAAATGGATAGAATTATCATAAAAACGCCCGCATGTTATCAGAAATGAGCGGGCAACTGTAACTTGATAATGCCCTCATAATCGCCCTCCTCGGTCTTTTCAACTGCCCTCCTGCGTCGGGCAGTTAATGGAGGACCTCGGGCTTCTGCAAATGATAATGCCCTGAAAAATAGCGTTACCCTTATAATGTACCAACGGGCTGAGGTCACTTTTGAGTGAAATGTGCCCAAGAAACATTGATGTTTTTTATGCAGCCTAGCACCATACCTTGCAGTCGATGGCCTCATCCCTCTGAAAGTCCTCCACGGATAGAGTGGGCGGTGAGGGGCTGGAAACATTCAGTTGTATTAGCACATACGGTATTTGACGTAATAAGCGGCAGTATTTGCTAATATATTGGCTAGTGAACAATCCCAATTAGCACCCCTTCCGATTGATCAATGTACACAAGACTTATTTATTTGCGTACAATATGTACTCTTGTGTTATATGCACCCTTAATTATGGGCAATTAAATTCTGGAAAAATATATCTGTCGTACATAAACATTTCAGGCTGTCAGCATAAACCACGAAATGTATCTTTAATATTCTAATAAGAGCCCCCTATTTCTAATTTTGAGAGCGCCCTGGGCGCTTATTACGTCGATCACGGTATGTGAAGAGTGACTGATTACGACATGTGAAGCACAGGTAAAATCTGCTGATACTACCAAGTTGATTTGTCCACAACCCATCTGATGCTATTCTCTGGGTGTAAATTCTTGAAGAGGTCTTAAAATACTTTCACAATGATATCAGCTCTATCACAACACGTCTATTTAGATACTGATTAACTCGAAGGTCATCTAAATCTAAACAAAACAGCATTTCATCTTAAATATCTTTTTCTGAAAAATCTATTAACAAAAGTTTGTCAATTTATGAAAACAATATTTTACCAAATACAAAGTTCTATCTAATGTCTGCCACCATATAATTCTAAATTAACAGTCAGACTTGACTTCATTGAACCTATACATGGTAAAAGTTGCAATAACGTAAGACTTCTTTAAGATATCACTTCAGACAGGTTCAAATGATAGAAATCAACAAATCTATCAATACTAACCTTCTCTAGGAATAATTTTTAAATAATCACTACAATATTTCTCCATATTGTTTTTGAGTTTTGAAATCTTAATATCAAATTTCAATTCATTTCTTTGAGCATCACTGAAAATCCACAGCATCGATAAGAAGAAATAACTTTGTTCTTACAAAAAAATCAACAATTTCATATATTTCTGAATTATTAAAATTATACTTAACGTAGAAACATGACATCTAATCATTGTAGAATTTTTTTACTTTTTAGAGAAGAGGAAGTCTTCAAACGCCCCTGACAGGTCCTCCCACATCGCAGTAAAAGCAGCATCTGAAACAACATTCAGGGTTATACTGGGAACATGAAAACTGGGAGTCATCATGACTCACTGCATAATGTGGGGGCACGGGTGGCCCAGTCGTCTAAGGCGCCGCAATTCGCTGTGCAGAGTTGCGTCCCTTGGGCACGCCAGAAACCTATGATTGTGGGTTCGAATCCCAGTTCGCCCCGATTATGTTTCTAGGTTTGTCAGCACCATACCCGTGCTCGTGAGTTTCACCAAAGTGTTAAACGTCTGAGACCTGCATCACTTCGGGCTTTCCTCCCACATAATAAGCTGACACGCCGGGATATAACTGGAATACTGTTAAAAGCGGCGTTAAAACCAACTCACTCACTCACTCACTCACTGCATTATGTATTTTAGTCCTAACTAAAGCTAGACAAACCAGTGATTGATATCATGAGTAATATCCCACATATGATAAATAACCATATCAGCTAGTCTATCTAACCAATCCATGTTGTCGCTTCTTATGACCAGCTCAAGTTGCTAGGGACCTGTTCTAACCTGGATTCCCCCAGGGGGTGATATCTTGCAAAGAATTGGTTACAGCTCCATGGGTCTTTGTTGTAGGAGCTAGTAGTGACTGATGAAAGGTATGTGGTGTCAAATATGATTCATTGAAAATAGGATAAGGAATATCTGGCATGAACATCGCATCAAATGCACCCAAATCCTTCATCATGTGAAACCCTAAGAACAACATTGGTTTCAGCTCGGGTTATCATGCTCTACTCAACAACAACAACAACAACAACAACAACAATATGGTATCAGTAGATGTAATAGGCATGTCAAGATGACCTGTGACAGTCAGGGACTGGGTTTATCAAGAGACAAGGTCATGAAAAGACGTCAATTCCATGTCAACACAAATATTGTCATTCATGATTCCTGTACAAGACATATCCTACATTGCAGAACTGATATCTAAGGCCAGAATTTGTTTCTTCTTTTATTATTTTTTTTCACAAATTTTGAAAATGAAAAATTTGTTTGGTAGTTTCATAAAAACAAACAAAGACAATTTGTAAAGGATGTTTTAATAATCATAAGTTTGATTTGGATTGGTAAGTGATAAAAAAGTTGTGGCCTGGTTTGGGTACTTAGTGTTTGAAAGATTTCTGTTTTATTCATTACATATTACCCTGGACTTTTTTTTTTATTGTGACGACAATCTTTATCATCAGCGGTATGAAACACATTTTGTCATTCTGATTATTTTTTCTGAATTTTGTATGTTTAAAGTCGGCATATCCATAAACAAAACAAAAACAAGGCCTAAGAAAAATACAAATGAGGTCAATGATGTAAGAATGCTGCACTGTGATATGTTTTATTTCATATTTTATCACATTGTTCTGTGCCATACGATAAGTACATGTACTATCACAGATCATATTATGCTGGGAGCAATATGGCTCCTGCTTGCAAATAATCAAAATTTGTGTGTGTGTGCATGTGTGTGGTGGGTGTGGGAGTGTGTGTGGGAGTGTGTGTGGTAGATGTGTGTGTGCACGTGCATCAGCGTGTGCATGTGCTAGTGCATGTGTTTGCACGTGTGAGAAGTTTGGACTGCCAGATTTTACTTTGGTAATTATTGTTAATAAACTTATCATTACATAGAAACTGGTATTGCAAAGTATGTGTCATCTGGAAGTAACACAATGCTCTAAATATTATCGTTGTTATCAGTTCTGACAACTTTGATAGGGAGCACTGATAGATAACCTTATTTCTGCAGAGAAAGGAACGACTCCGGACTGAACATCAACTTACATCAGAGACTGGCTTTTTATCATGGGGGTTGGGGGGAGATGGGTGTGTGTGTGTGTGTGTGTGTGTGTGTGTGTGTGTGTGTGTGTGTGTGTGTGTGTCTGTGTGTGTGTGTGTGTGTGTGTGTGTGTCTGTGTGTGTGTGTGTGTGTGTGTGTGTCTGTGTGTGTGTGTGTGAGTGAGTGAGAGAGAATCAGGGGCGGTCACCCAAAACAGATGACAATCTCTAGGAGAGGGGCATACAAAATAATACACATATTTGTGGAGAGTCACGAAAAAAATGGACTTTTATAATAAAATAGATAGTGCTTTTGCTGTTTGTCCTTTCAGGGAGGGTCATGAAACATGTACAAGGACATGGGGAGGGTCATCCAAAAATATGACAAGCATAAGGGGAGGGTCATTATTTTCAGTACATTTGTGCATCAAAAACCTCTAAGGGCTTATTTTTAGAGATAGTGAGTGAGTGAGTATGGTTTTACGCCGCTTTTAGCAATATTCCAGCAATATCATGGTGGGGGACACCAGAAATGGGCTTCACACATTGTACCCATGTCGGGAATTGAAACCAGGTCTTCGGCGTGACGAGCAAACGCTTTAACCACTAGGCTACCCGACCGCCGAGATAATTACACATGGTAATCCTAATATCTGCATATAAATCGATACTTAGCATACGGTCAATATTATTGAAATTGTAAATCATCTAGTGATGTTTTATTGCAAGTTTCACATTTTCATTGACGAAGTTTGTTATCTTCTGTTTATTTACCTGAAACTATACGATGTAGTTTTTGGCTGCGCATTATGTGAAACAGCAATTTTTCCCGAAACTATTACTCATGAATGGGGTTGTGCATCATACTCAAGTGTGCACTATACACAAGAAAATACAGTTATCTCGCAGCAGTGAGAGAAAACATGATCAAACCCCAGACCTCTCTGAATATCAGATGGTTAGTCCCTACGATGTGAGCTTAAACAAAACCATGCCATGTTATACTGACCATGTTTCCTGGCGACGGGGAGTCCGATGTTGAGGATGGTGAAGAGGGAGTTGATGACCAACATCCAGGTCGACGGGGCGGGGCAGCTGTACTTCAACCCCAGGGGCAGGCGGAATGTCTGCAAAGTAATATACAACGTGTCACAATCAAACATGTCCGAAAAGACGAATTGTTTTCAGCAGCATTTGTCACTGTGGCAGAGGGACACCAGGAATATGCCTCTCCGACCTTGGAATAAAACCAGGAACTGCTTCATCATAGATGAACACACAAACTACTGGGCTACTCCACTGTCCACTTATGTGAGTGAGTGAGTTGGGTTTAACGCCGCTTTTAACAGTATTCCAGTTATATCACAGCGTGTCAGCTTAATGAGAGGAAAGCCCGAAGTGATGCAGGTCTCAGACATTTACCACTTCGGTGAAACCCACAAGCACGGGTATGGTGCTGACAAACCTAGAAACATAATTGGGGCGAACCAGGATTCAAACCCACAATCATAGGTTTCTGGCGTGCCCAAGGGACTCAACTCTGCACAGCGAATCGCGGCGCCTTAGACGACTGGGCCACCCGTGTCCCCTGTCCACTTATGTGACTTTCCCTACTGACTACTGATGTAAGCAGTGGCAGGGAGAGTTCAGCATACTTCTAGTGGAAAACACATCCAGGAACAGACTTTACAAATCTATGAACACACAATGCCATTTAGAAAGTGGTCAAAGGTAACAAATGTCATATTTGGGATAACACCGTCATAGTAAAGTACAGATTCTGGTGCTTTTTTTTTTAATTTACTTTTTTTAGAACTTTTTTTAAAACACCCATGGGACTCAACACCAAAAAGGTTTTTAAAAAAGTACTAAAAAAAGTATTTTTTTCTTTTTTTAAAAACCTACTAGAATCATACTTTAGTAAGAAAGTGTCATCTCAAAGATAGCAAATCATTTCAACATATCGTCTCAGCTACTATAGAAACAATGTGAGCAGTTCCTTGGGCTGTTTTTATGCTTATGGTGATAAAATTATGACAGATATGTGTTGCTATAGTGAACATATTTGGAGTATAGAGAAATCAACTTTCAGTACAAACCCACAGGAAATATTTCTGATACCCATCTTATTATTACCCATTCAAGACATTGTATCAACACCACTATCCAACAAATGAAACTGACACGTGCATGACGACATGACACTCATCCTACTGATGGAGCACAAGGACAAGACTGAAGACAATGTTGCGGTCACATGACAACCTGTCATTCAGCTTGTGCACAGCAGGGGAAGTGAGTTGGTTTGTTGTTTTACGCCGCACTCAGCAATATTCCAGCTATATGATGGCAGTCTGTAAATAATCAAGTCTGGACCAGACAATCCAGTGATTGATATCATGAACATCGATCCACGCAATTGGGATCGATGACATGCATCAACCAAGTCAGCGAGCCTGACCACCTGATACCGTTAGTCGCCTTTTACAACAAGCATAGTCGCCTTTTACGGCAAGCATGGGTTGCTGAAGACCTATTCTACCCCGGATCTTCATGGGTCGCAGGGGAAGTGAGTTGGGCTGGGTGACACAGAAGGTACAATTGGCAATTCACAGGGAATGATTGGGAGTTTTTTGGGACAAGATTTCTTATTATTACGAAAAGGGCTTTGTCGTTTTTACTATTATGGTGACATATTGCTTAACTAAACAATCAACTCTTTACTTAATTTTTATCACCAGTAATGACAGTGCTAATCCACCATCCCAACAAAAGACAAAACTTATCCAAAAGTTTGTCATACTGTTAATAAATGAAGACATGGAAATATAATGTTTTTGTTTTAGGTTGCAAAAAAATAGGAGTTTCTCAGGCACATTTATCTCAAAGTGGGGAGGGAGATTGGACTTTTTAAATATTTTTTTTGTCAAGACAAATAATGAAGGAGAAACGCTTTTAATTTTTCCGCCACAAGCATACCAGCAAACATAACTGGGCACACAGTGAACTTGGCTCTGTAATGCAATGTCACATGGACAACAGAGTCTCCTTCGAATGATGTGGGAAAATTAACAAATATTTTATAGTGGCCTGAATAATGAGTAAACGACTGAGATGTAGGATTTAAAGAAATTTGCCAATACCTAAGAAACATGTATTCTATTTTAGCCATTTTAGGGACTGAAACTTTTATTGGAACAACTTATGCGTTTAATAATTCTATTGGGAAATTCAATATAGAGGAATTGAAAGAACTTAATACAAGGTCTGATGGGTCTTACAAAGCTTAAGCTTTTCCTCATTTAAGTGATTTAATTGATGATGGGAGAGTTTCAACTATAGATCTCAAATCAAAATGATTTTGTTGTTGAAATAATGAACCTTTGTTATCAGTGAAACCTATGATATACTGCCAGTGAAACCTTCATCAGTGAAACCTATGATATACAGCTAATGAAACCCTTATCAGCGAAATCATGATAAACTGTCCGTGAAAAGATTGTCATCAGTGAAATTAATGATACACTGTTAGTGAAACCCTCATTATCAATGGAATCCAGGGTACGCTATATATATATTTTATGTATGAAATCCTTACAAACATCTCTTTTCTTAAAAGTGGAGCGGCTGAACAGAGAAAATGTGCATTTACTGTAATAATAAAAGAATGAAACTTTGAATACTTATAAACCAATGCCTGGTGAACATTTTTCTATATGGAGGCACTCAAAATAATTTCATTTTGCACATGTGCAGTAGATAAATAAAATTTTGCCTTTTCTGACCATTGTGTTAGCTTTCCAACTACCAACCATGCACTAAAGAGATGGTTTAGCGTGTTAAGTTTGGAAATCATGTGCAGCATATCATGATAAAATAAGTGAGTGAGTTATTATTTAACGTCACATGGGCAGTATTTCAGCCATATCGTGACGAGACGTTATACATTTATGATACATTTATGATACATATATTTAGACTAAATATAAAGCTGTCAACGATGGACAGTAGAATAACTAGAATATCACAGACTTGATTTAAAACTAGTTGAGAATATTAAAAAACAGTAAGCATTAATAAACAACACAATATAAAAATTGGCTATACATCGTCAGCCACTGAAGGGAGATCACCATACTGGTGACCATGGGGACTTAGAGTACCTTTGCTTCCTGCATGGACCCCGGCAGGATTTATATCATCCCTTTAGTCACTGGCGACAGTGTACCAGTTAAGCCTTAGATTAAAATAACAAATATACTAGGTTTAAAAGCCTGGCATGCAGAAAATACTTCGAATGATATGGGACTTACATACACTCTTAGGGATAAAATAAAGACACTGGTGACACTTGACTGATTTTTGGTTTTGTCATTAAGTAGTACACATTGGAAAACGTCTCTCCTTAATGTACATACTTCTCTATCTGGTCCATGTTTCTGTTGGCAGTGAGTATATAACAGAGTCAATTTTATGAACACTGGTCCTCCCACCAACAGAGTCCTGTGCATTTAAGTGAGGACTGTTAGCACTTGCATTGGTTGTTGCACCCCTTTCTGCAGCCACAAGAGACCAACTCGACAAGATTTGGATGCTTGGCCTAATGTCGTCCAGTAGGGAACATACTGTCCACTTTCCTTCTGTAATCGACCGCCTCCGTGGTCTAGTGGTAGAGCGGAAGGTCCGGAGTTCCGGAGGTCCCTGGCCGCGTCATACCAAAAGTCGTTAAAAGATGGTACTTGTTGTTACCCTGTCTGGCGCTTGGCATTAAGGGGCTAAAACAAGGACTGGTCGGCTCGGAGTCAGTATACTGTGTCTGAGTGGAGTATTCATGTTAAACTGCGGCATGGTATCTCAGTGAGCTAGCACTATAAATCGGCATCAGTCCGGACTGGTACAATCAGCCATACAAACACACACACGTACATGCACGTCGCTATATAAGTGCAATAATCTTGAACGCGACGTTAAACCCCATTTCACCTCACCTCACCTTCTGTAAACAGCAATCTTTTACAATTATCAGGCGTTGACGTGAACAGCAGACAAACCTTTATTATTCTGGGTCAGCAGTAAAGGTATGAGATTAAGAAACCCAAAAATATAAAATTGTGTCTGTATCAGAAGCCCCACACATAAATGTTTTTGACCCTTTAACATTATGGTGGTTTCATAATAACAATAACATCACTGTCGACCCTCAGATTCTGTCAAAGGGCATCTGAGTACATCATCTACACCGAGACATCAGCAGTGTGCTGAATATGGGACACGGGCGTGATGTCAACATCAAAGACTCCTCAACAAAGACAAGCATCCCTATAAAACAGATCTACTTCTCTCCCCTGCGTGACAACACTGGGTTATGTCATCAGCTGAGTACTCTCAACATCAATGACTGGAACACAAAAAGAGGCAATTGGTGACAATTTGGTGACAACAACTCAAGGCAACATCAAGCCTTCTCTAGCCATATAGAGGCTTTCAAATGGGAGACTGGCTTTTTAAAAACCAATCAATCAATTAGTGTTCAAGGGCAGACTGTTGTTTACCGCAACGGCGAAAAGCCAGGGACAATATTATTTTCAGCTAATGGAATTATATAGGGGTAATTCAAATGGTAACCTTTTACTGTGTTTTATCAAGATGAAACATGTTCTGGTTATGTAGGTGTACCACTAAATGAACTTAGGACCAACTAGCCTACGGTCAAGCAAGTTGAGGTGTTCAGTGTTTAGGATGGTTCAGTTTCCCTCAATTTCATCAAGTGAGTGGGTGGGTGGGTGAGGGGTGAGTGAGTGGGTGAGTGAGTGGGTGATTGGGTGAGTGAGTGAGTGAGTGAGTGAGTGAGTGAGCGTAGTTTTACACCGCCTTTAGAAATATTCCAGTAATATCACGTCGGGGGACACCAGAACTGGGCTTCACACAAAAATCTTCTGTCTCAAATAAATATGCAAGCCACCATATTCCCAACTCAGAATATCAAATGAAGCAAGGAGCCATCTGAGGGTTCAGCAACACCACTGGAGGGATCAAGCTATATTCCAGCAATATGACAGCAATAGGCTTCAGCTTCACGAACGAATGCTTTAACTTCAAGGCTATCACATCAGCCCTCAATTCCGGA